CATTGAACACATTAAAATAATTTAAAAAAATCCATTTCGTGACCCCTTTAATACTTTTCCTTTTTGTGCAATTTGGTGCGTTTAGATACCTTTTCACTCTGTATTTACTACTGTTTATCCTTAATTTCAAAAGAAAAAATAAGAAATTATACTGTGTATAAAGAAAATGTTTTCCTATTTTTGCCTTATGTGCAATTATTTTTATGAAAATGTAAGCATGTTTCCTCCCAATTCCTGTTACAGTAATGCAAAAAAACCTCTTATATTCATTCAAGTAATGTGAAATATATTGTTTTAAAGTATTTATATGAAGAGTTAACATAACATTAAGTTTATATAGTCTTTTATGTTGTACTGCCTGTACTGATTTATGCTGAACATTTTATGTAAAATGGATTTTTTGATTTTCAGGGAACATTTCCAATGAGATTGATCGGGCATTTGCTGAAAGAATCGGCTGGTTGATAAGTTTCTGTGCAGACACTGGGGGTGAGACAGCTACTAAACCTTAAGGGTACAATTTTATGCTAGAAATACTGATATTTTCTTAAAATCTCACTAAAATGACACTTTTTCTTTTCATAGATTGTCTGGAACCTCAGACAAGACGGAAGCTAGCTGGAATGTTGGTAAGCGTTGAGCTGATCATGTTTAACCAGATTCAATTCAAGTATCACATATTGTAAACAAACCGTTTAATAAAGTATGTTATTGTCTCGTGAGCACGAATGAACATGTTTCTCTCTGCAGGACGGTCTGGTCAATGTCGGATGGATGGATTGCTCCAAACAGGCAGATTTGTGTGAGAGCTTTGAGATCACCACTAGCACAACGGCCCTCTTTCCCCCTGGCAGTTCCCTTGCTCAGAAAGGCAGCGTATTGGTAGGGAACTTCTTTCTAAGGGGGTGTTTACATGACACTTTTCAACTAAAAACAGAAAAAAATGTATGCTTTTTGGCCATTCATTAATACGACAACAGTTTTGGGGATCTGAAAATGAAAACGGGTTCCAAAGTGCACGTTTTTTTAAAACAACACCACCATTATTGTCTCAGTGTAAACTACAAAAACGCAAATTTGTGAAAATGGTCACGTCATGCGCGCATGTGTATTACGTGTTCAGTGAGGTTTATTAACGCTTCTCCAGCAAAGTGTAGATTTACTGTTTGTATTCACCGCTCTGTAGAAGAATGCATCTGTGCGCAGGCGTGTAGTGTTTCTTTACAAAGTGACATCGCCAACTACTGACCTGGCATGCATAATACAGCGTTTTTAGTCATTTTTGTGGATCCGTGTGAACCGATATCATTTTGACAACGTTGTCATCTGTACGGTAAACTTTTCTAACATTTCTGTTTTTACTGCATTGTTGTTGTGGAAACATACCCTAAATATTGCATTCTGTCCAGTTGTAGTAGTTCTTAATTGAGCCAATCTGATGGGCTGGTTTTCATTTTTATTTTTATTAACTTTGCAGTTTATCCAGAGTTTGGATACTAGAGATATATATGCACAAGTGTTGCAGCATCTGCCTGACCTGGAGATTCTTACAAAGAGCAGCTTCGAGGTAAGAGTGCAAGTGACTTTTAATGAAGATCGTAAGAACAAGGAAAAGCTGTAGAAAAAGAGTTTGTTTGCACTGAACTGAACGTAGTCCTGTACCGCACCCTGAACTACCTGCAGTATCACTGTTTACACAGTAACTGACGCGCTGGATGAAATATGATTGCGTGGCATAATGATGTGCATCTTTTTGGAAATATCATGAAAGATACCCTACTAATGATCAGGGGGTTTTTTTTTCTGATTTTGTCATTTCAGCATAAATTGGCTCATCATCGATGGCTCATCAGTTTCTCCTTTGGACACAACAATTTGGCAACACATGAGTATAAAAAACTAAAAGCTCTTCTTAAGGACTCTAACATACAGGTTCTTGATTTCTTTTTTTCTTGACATTCCTGATTTTATTTAGAGTTAACTTAAATTAAAATATTTCTTCTGCTCATGTTGTTCCAAACCCGTATGACTGACTTGTGTCCATGAAACACAAAAATAGTAATTTTGAAGAGTGGTCATGCTGCTTGTTACCATATCAAGCTGCAAAAAGCACCATAAAAGTCGTTTGTATGACTTGTGCGCAATATAATCTTAGTGTTTTGAAGCTAAGATTCAGTCTGTTTCTCACATGAAGCTGTCGTATGGACTACTGTATAGTACTTTCATGGTGCTTTCACCTATTTTTTGAGGCAGAAAATCGTACAGGTTTAGAACAACATGAGTATATGGTGACAGAACATTTGCTGTTTTTACTGTTGTTTTATGCAGTACATAGGTCATATGAGTTCTGGTATATGGTGCTGTTGTGTTGGATTCATTGCATTCATCTGTTTGCACAGGTGGGGAAGGTGGACTGCGTCTCAGATTTAGAGCTGTGTGCTTCTCTGTATATACAGAAGCCCTGTGTGGCTGTTTTTAAAGGGGTTGGAATTCATGATTTTGAGATTTACCATGGTGAGTTTTAGTAAGACTTAATATTCTGGTTCTAAATAATAAAAAAAGTGTTTTTTAGCCCTCTGATGCATTAATTATTCAAGTAAATATTGGGTTACACTTTATTTTAAGGTGACATACTGTAGTTACATTGCACTTACTAAAAAAAGTACTAAGTAATGTTACTTAACTACATGTACTTACCATAGAGTTACCTTTAGGGTTTAGTTACTTGTCATTATGCATCATTTTCTGTTATTACTATAGTAAGTACAGTACATGTAGTAACGTGTAACTATGTCACCTTAAAATAAAGTGTTACCAAATATTTCAATGCTTGCTTATACATTAAAACAAAAATATTACACACACACACAGTTTTCTGTTTTCTACATTAATATATATTTTAAAATGTATTTTTTTCCGGTGATGCAACGCTGAATTTTCAGCTTCATTACTCCAGTCTTCAGTGTCACACGATCCTTCAGAAATCATTCTACTATGATGATTTGCTGCTTAAGAAATATTTATCATCAGTGTTGAAAACCGATGTGATTCTTAATATTTTTGTGGAAACAGTGATAATTTTTTTTAGGATTCTTTGATGAATAGAAAGTTCAAAAGAGCAGCATTTATTTGAGATATAATTTTTTTGTAACATACATTTTCTTTACTGTCAGTTTTGATCATTGCTGAATAAAAGTATTAATTTCTTTTAAAAAAATCTAACCCCCAAATGTAAACAGTAATGTAGTTGGTAAAGGTCATGTGGTTTGGATGTAACTACGGTACACTCCCCGAATGGCTAAAAATGTCTTTTAAATATTTCCTGTATCAGAGGGTTAAAAGACATTAAAACCTTTAAACATTCATCCAAATTGGTAAAATTTAGTTTGGTATTGGTCTAAAATGTTTGTGATTTGTACTTTGTGTTAAATCTCCAGGTAAGGATGCCCTTTACAACGTTGTGGCCTTTGCAAAAGAGAGTGTGAATGCCCACGTCACCACCCTCAGGCCTGAGAACTTCCCCAGCCACGAGAAGGAGCCCTGGCTGGTTGATTTCTTCGCTCCTGTGAGTTATTACATCTAAACCTCTGCTGAAGCCTCCATTTGAACACTAATGATTATCTGCCAAGCACATACTTACATTACCATGGTAACTTCCATGCTACATCAAACTCAGTAGGGTGAGAAATGATTAGCGGAGGCAAGCACAGTGAACATTACTGACACAGTGTGAAATTCACACATTAAAAGCATCATTTGGATTTGTGTTTGAAATGTAGATTCTTTATTATGCGTAATTATTCTGTCCTACAGTGGTGTCCGCCATGTCGAGCTCTTCTCCCCGAGTTGAGAAAAGCCTCCATCCAGCTCTTTGGACAGATGAAGTTTGGGACTCTAGACTGTACCGTGCACGAGGGGCTCTGCAACACGGTACTGAGATACTCGCCTTCGCTCAAACGTTGCAGAATTTGACAGTTGATTGGGCATGATGGCTTAATATGTGCTCAGTATTTCTAGCATAATAATGTGGTTTCCTGCAGAGCATGTACTTATTAGGGATTGAGATTCTCATTGGCTTCCTGTCTTACTTAACAGATCTGGTTATAGAATCATCGTAAAACCTTCTGAATCTTTGCCACAGGAAACCACAGCATTTGACTTGTTACTTTCTCTTCATATTGCTTAAAAGTGAAGTGTGTCATTTCTGTACCACTAACAGCTAAATCGCAAAACATTTTATAATAATGAATAATGTTTCTTATACGGTAAAGTTGCAAAATTGCTAAAATATTTAACAACTTATAATAATTTTATATTATTATTGTTATTTTTATTGATTATATTAGTAATTATTAATATATTATAATCAATTATAATTAGTAATAATAACTTATTTACATTTTATTATAATTGTTGTACTTATTATATTTTTTGAACCAGTTTCAAACACTCCCTATCTTCGCATTGCATTGCCTTTGACTTTATTTATATTTCATTTATGATTATTTTAGACCTTTTCATTGTATATAAATATGCTTATTTTACCTGAGTATGAAGGTTCGGGTGACAGCCGGTTCTCATCTCTTGCATCTTTCCCTTCTTCAGTACAACATTCATGCATATCCAACAACTGTAATCTTCAACAAGTCCAGCATTCATGAGTATGAGGGCCATCACTCTGCAGACGGCATCCTGGAGTTCATAGAGGTGAGAAAGAGCTGAGGCACAGATTACGGTTACACTTCATACTCTCAGTCATAATTCATACATGCATCTGTTTAGATGAAATAGATTGTATCTATTGCAGGACCTTGTGAACCCTGCTGTGGTGACTTTGACCCCAGAGTCATTCCAAGAGCTGGTGAAGAGACGCAAGTCCTCAGAGACATGGATGGTGGATTTCTACGCGCCGTGGTGTGGCCCTTGCCAGGCCCTGCTGCCTGAGTGGAGGAGAATGGCACGGGTATCTGCCCTCATATATAACACTGGCAGTTACACTTTTTGGTTGTATATGATCTCGATGTGAAAGCCCTTTAAAGCACCTGTCCACAAATGTTTGATTTAATCGTGATTTGTGATAACCACAATCATTGTGCACTTGCCATTTTATTTTTGACATTTTCACAGAATTTCATGCAAATACTTAAAATGCCATGAAATAAATTAAGGATTCTGAGTGCACTTTCACTCATTTGTGTAACTATCTGTGTAAAGGACACAGAGATTTTGTCCAAAAGGTAATTACAAAAAAACTAAAAGGTCTTCCTTCATCTTAAGTTTAAAAGCACAGTCTTAAAATATATCCTGAATATTCATATGACGTCTAGTGTACTATTATTAACTATACTATTATACTTATTAATGGTCATGTTTTAATTGGCATTTATTATTATATTGTAATACTGAAAACCAAAGTGACATTTCAGAGAAAAAAAGATCAAATAAAAACTTAATATAACCTAACTGCATAAGTATGCACACCCCTGAATACATTATTTATTATATTTGAAGCACCCCTTGATTTTATTACAGCACTCCATCTGTTTGAAAAAAATCTGAAGTCAAATTGGCTTAAAATATTTTTTTCTTTATTATTTAATTTTAAGATATTTTATATTAATATTTAGATTGAGAATTTATATTTAATTGTATATAATATTTGAAATATTACTCATATAATTTTAACCTGTGCAGTATTTGTTTTGCAAAGCCTCAAAGGTAGTCATTTGAAATATTTCCAAGTTCCGTGTAACTTTTTCTTAAGGTGTATCCATTTTAAGCTTACACTTTATGTGAATAAAAAAAATACAATTTATTGCGGTCATTTGACAAGTAATTGCTTGCAAAAATGTCATGATCATAACTACCCTATTGCTGTGCCTGTTCTAGATGCTGAGAGGGATTGTAAACGTGGGAACAGTCGACTGCCAGAGAGACCACTCGTTCTGCCAGAGCGAGAGTGTTCGAGGTTACCCAGAGATCCGCCTGTTCCCTCAGAACAGCAACCGCAGAGACCAGTACCAGTGAGTGTACTTTACATTCCCTACCTCATATACAATTACACCTCAGTTCAACAAGTTCTGTGTTTCTCTCCCATTGTTAACAGGAGCTACAACGGATGGCACCGGGATGCCTTTTCACTCAAGTCTTGGGCTTTGAGGTGAGCCTGATTAATTCTCACAAAATATCCATAAATTCACCCGCGTTTTAATCAGCTTATCCTATTTGATTAATAGTTCCCGGTAAGCATGCGAGAGACTTGATTAAATTAATTTCAGTACAACTTTAGCTTGTAGCTTTTATAACAACATGATATGATAAGCCAATTTCTTTAATTAGCTTAGCTGTTATACACAGTGCAACATGCTAACGTAAAACTCTACTGAATTAAAGTTGCTGCCTAACTACAGAGTTACAAACCAGTCACTTTTGGTTCCATCTGTTAGGATGCTGTCTATGTAGGCAGAGCTATATTACATAACCTCAAACCCATGGTGTCTTCTCTCTGTAGCTCGCTGCCTCGTGCCTCAGTGGATCTGTCCCCTGAGGACTTTAAGAGAAAGGTTTTGGGAGGGAAGGATCACTGGGTGTTGGATTTCTACGCCCCGTGGTGTGGCCCATGCCAGCAGTTTGCCCCTGAGTTTGAAGTTCTTGCCAGGGTAAGACTAATTTGTGAAGACCTCTGATATAGAACGTCATTTACCCTCCTCGTAAAGTGAGAATCATATTTAAAATATTATGCTTTCCTTTTCACAATTAAACTCTAAAAACTTAACATACAAACTGTAACTTCATACTTGTGTTTTAAAGAAAGATTAAAGTTCGACAAAGTTTATATACACACACACACATTTATACACTCACCGGCCACTTTATTAGGTACCCCATGCTAGTAACGGGTTGGACCCCCTTTTGCCTTCAGAACTGCCTCAATTCTTCGTGGCATAGATTCAACAAGGTGCTGGAAGCATTCCTCAGGGAGTGACATGATGGCATCACACAGTTGCCGCAGATTTGTCGGCTGCACATCCATGATGCGAATCTCCCGTTCCACCACATCCCAAAGATGCTCTGTTGGGTTGAGATCTGGTGACTGTGGAGGCCATTTTAGTACAGTGAACTCATTGTCATGTTCAAGAAACCAATTTGAAATGATTAGAGCTTTGTGACATGGTGGAAGTAGCCATCAGAGGATGGGTACATGGTGGCCATAAAGGGATGGACATGGTCAGAAACAATGCTCAGGTAGGCCGTGGCATTTAAACGATGCCCAATTGGCACTAAGGGGCCTAAAGTGTGCCAGGAAAACATCCCCCACACCATTACACCACCACCACCAGCCTGCACAGTGGTAACAAGGCATGATGGTTCCATGTTCTCATTCTGTTTACGCCAAATTCTGACTCTAACATCTGAATGTCTCAACAGAAATCGAGACTCATCAGACCAGGCAACATTTTTCCAGTCTTCAACTGTTCAATTTTGGTGAGCTCTTGCAAATTGTAGCCTCTTTTTCCTATTTGTAGTGGAGATGAGTGGTACCCGGTGGAGTCTTCTGCTGTTGTAGCCCATCCGCCTCAAGGTTGTACGTGTTGTGGCTTCACAAATGCTTTGCTGCATACCTCGGTTGTAACGAGTGGTTATTTCAGTCACTGTTGCCCTTCTATCAGCTCGAACCAGTCTGGCCATTCTCCTCTGACCTCTGGCATCAACAAGGCATTTCCGCCCACAGAACTGCCGCTCACTGGATGTTTTTTCTTTTTCGGACCATTCTCTGTAAACCCTAGAGATGGTTGTGCGTGAAAATCCCAGTAGATTAGCAGTTTCTGAAATACTCAGACCAGTCCTTCTGGCACCAACAATCATGCCACGTTCAAAGTCACTCAAATCAACTTTCTTCCCCATACTGATGCTCGGTTTGAACTGCAGGAGATTGTCTTGACCATGTCTACATGCCTAAATGCACTGAGTTGCCGCCATGTGATTGGCTGCTTAGAAATTAAGTGTTAACGAGCAGTTGGACAGGTGTACCTAATAAAGTGGCCGGTGAGTGTATATATATAATATATATATAGACACATTTTATTTCTCCATTTTTAATTTGAAACTGTCATTTGCAGCGTTTCATGTGATTGAAGTACATGTCTTGTACCCTTGTCTTTGATTTGAGGCAAAAAGTATTTGAAAAATGGACAAAGTTTGTAATATTGTAATTCACCACATTGCACTTGCTTATTTTGTAGTCTGTGTAATCTCAAGATTGTGTTTGGGTCGTTCTCAGATCATGCTGTAGAACGTGATCATCAGGTTTTGTTCATGTCAGCTGCAGTCATTAAAGCAAAAGGCCGATTCAGTTTAGACTTTTCACTCAAATTGAAAATTGAAAATGCAGTAAAATGTGCAATTGTAATTAAAAAAATGCAGCACTGGCTCTTGACTAGCTTCAATCAGTGCAGGTGCTCTGATCGTGAATAATTCAAAGCATCAGTCATCTATTCCTCCCGTCTGCAGATGATGAAGGGAACCGTGCGAGCTGGTAAAGTGGACTGCCAGGCACACTACCAGACCTGCCAGAGCGCTGGGATCAAGGCTTACCCCACTGTCCGATTCTACCCCCACATAGGCACCACACGGGTACGGCACAAGCGCTGGCCATCGTATTGTTCCAGGTGCTCTCTGGGTCATTTCTGTACCTACTCAAACCTCTCTATCTTTGTGTCCCAAACTCTTGTAGCGAGATCATGGAGGAGAGCATATTAACAGCAAAGATGCCACCGTCATCGCAGACGTTCTCCGACAGAGACTCCAGCAACTAGCGTTACAGGGAAAGTCCTCCAAACTTAAAGTAAGATACTCGCTGCCTATTGGCTCTCACTACTTTTGGTTTAGGAATAATTTTGCTACGATCCGAACTGAATAATTTGACATGGAAGAACACAAAACGCAAGGTTAAAATGAAACTGTTGAATTAAAATGAATCTCCTCATGTTGAATCTGAACAATTGTACGGAAGAGGATTAGGGCCAAGCAATAATAAAAAAATAAAACCATCTCGAGATTAAAGTCATTATATAATGCGAAATTAAACTCGTTAAATTTCGAGAAAAAAGTCTAAATACAATCTTGAGAATAAACTCATTAAATTTTGAGAATAAAGTCGTTGTGTTTCGAGAAAAAAAACTCTTTAAATTTCGAGAATAAAGTCGTGTTTCGAGAAACTGTCTCCATGGTTACTTTGTAAAAACCTTTGCATTGCTGCCACACTACCATTTTCTGTCCCCATGTCCGCGCGGAGCTCTCGGGACACCCTCCTATGCCAGTAACTGTTTTTATGAAGTAGCTAACTGGCTATTACTTTAGGATCGTTATTGGTTGTGTACGCCTCCATCCACAGAATGTAACGACTATAACCATCTATACAGCCATTAATGGCAATGCCGTACATACGGTTTTAATTTATCATAGCTGTCCATATGCCAGAGTGCCAGCGCTGTTCGTTGTTCATGCAGCAGTTGTTCAAGTGGCGGCTCAAACGTCTTTTATCAGTAAAGTTCTGCACGGGCAAATTCAGTGACACTTTTAATGTAAACTTTTTTTCTCGAAACACAACGACTTTATTCTCGAAATTTAATGAGTTTATTCTCAAGATTGTATTTCGACTTTTTTCTCGAAATTTAACGAGTTTAATTTCGCATTATAATGACTTTAATCTCGAGATGGTTTTATTTTTTTATTATTGCTTGGCCCTAATCCTCTTCCGTACAATTGTGCTGTGACAATCCAGTTCATGATTATTATTCAAAATACGGCTGCTGAATTATAGCAAATCCTAATCACGATTATTTTGGTAAGTATTGAGACCACAATGAACATGATTACTCATTGATTAAAAAATATTTTTAAAGAAATTTAAACTGGATTTCCTTGAACTTCAGAGAAGCAAGCCCTTTTGGGCAGGAAGTTAAGTGATTAAAAGCCCAATGTCCAATGAATAAGCAGATTATTCCCAACACAAATGTAGCTTTATCTTGATTATCCTGTT